GCACATTTAGATAGTTTATCTTTTGTATAGGTTTTGCTAAGGTTAGAAAAAGAGGCCATTGTTTAGAGTTAGATTTTTAAGTTGCCTAATTCATCCCCCTCTTAGGCGTCACGATCACCTTCACATGTCTTCTAACCCGGTTCATCGCAAGCGCACAAAACACATTGAGCTAGACATTCACTTTGTCCGTGAGCGCGTCCAACTCGGCGACCTGCGCGTGCTCCACGTTCCAACGGGTGAGCAGTATGCGGACATCATGACAAAAGGACTGCCAACACCGACATTCGAAGCTTTTCAATCTAGTCTATGCGTTCTACCTATCAAACGCCAGACTGCGGGGGGTGTTGAGAGTATATGTGTGTATGTGTTTGACCACGGCATGTAACTGCTTGAGCTGGTGAGCGCGGTCACCACGCTCCATGAACGCGCACGTTTTGCGCCAGCTGTAGAGTGTAGACTCAGTTGCCAAACAACCTCCTCTGATGTACACTATACATATTCATTGAGATCAATACACAACAGTGTTGGCTTCCATTATTCTTCTCTATAGTTTGGTTTTTCTAGATATATAACGTTTGCTATGCACTTAGATATACACTGTGTCTAGATATGCGTTACGCGCAATGTATTAGAAAAGCCAAAAAGAACGGAGAGAGTATATATTAATAACATTTACAATACCCAATGTCCACTTCAGTTTTGCGCTATCAAGACATGTTTTACGGCGGATTTACAAAGTAACTTGATATTTGTAGATGCAGGTTTAATTAATCATGTGTCTCCTCCCTCTCGGGACATGATTATCTTCGCTTGAAGACCTAGCTGTCAAAAGCCAAACACTGTCACAACTCACAAAAGAGCATCCAGGAGGAGGAAGTACCGATATTTCCATTTCGGTCGTACGTTTATTTTGTGGTAACCATAGATACCATGCGTCGAGTTGCCGCACTCCCCAATATATATAAAAAAACCATAATTTTCATTCATTTGAAAAATGTTTTGGAAATCGTTATACCTAGTCAAAAATATGAACACAACTGTACGTATATCATACAGAACGTACTGTCGTATTCCATGTACATTACCCGTATACAGTACAGTAGGTTTGTGGAACTGTGGTGCGCGCTTCTGATCTGTGTACGTACCACAGATATCACAAGTCTGCTGTCCTGTCGGTCAGCGTCAGGGCACAGCACCCCCACTTGCACCCGCGCGGGCCCCGGTAAATCCCCTCTGCCCTTTTTGCAATTCGTCGCATCCCGCGCTCCAGGCCTCCGCTGGCCTTTCCGCGCGCCACGTCGGAGAACGGCCCCGCCTCTCAGGCGCAGGGGAGGGCGACTACAGCTCCGCGGGTAAGCAATGGCGGGCGGTGAGAAAAGGACCGGAGTGCCGATTAGTTGGCGTCCAGCGTCAGCGCAGGACCGTGGCTGATGCCAGGAGCTGCTACCCTATGACGTCGCTCTACGTGCCCGAGGATGCACAATGCTTTCATTGCAAATGGGATACTCCCTGTCTCGCTGCCATCCGCATCAAATTCCCATCGCACACTATGCCTCGTTGAGATAGCGGTTAGGAATCGGTATGGGTCACTGTAGCATTTTTGTTTGTATTTGATAATTATTGTCTAATCATAGTCTAATTAGGCTCAAAAAATTCATCTTATAATTTACAATCAAACTATGTAATTAGTTATTTTTTTATCTACGTTTAATACTCCATGCATGTGTCCAAAAATTTGATGTGATGAAGAGAGAGTGAAAAAACTTGGAATCTAAACAAGGCCCTAGCCTCAATTTGCTAAGCTCCCTCCGTACTAGTAGTTAATGATGTAGTGTTATCTTGTTTTTTTTTCCCAAAGGGAAGGGGATTATATTAAAACTGGTACCGTACATTCTTAAATTACATGCGACAAAAATCTAAAATAAAACTACACAATTGTCGAAACCAATACTAGGATAACCGGAGAGGATGAGCTAATGATCATCAGCATTGATGCATGCGAGCAGTCAAGAGCGCGACTACATCTCCAACCGACCCTAGGTGCGCGGGCTCCACCTCGCCCAACCTCTGGGGGCGGGCTCCGCCTCGCCCGGCCTCTGGGTCGGGGGCTCCGTCTTGCCCGACCCCTCAGGCACGGCTCCTGACGGAAGCCCGTACCGCCGCCAACCACTACGGGCCAGAAAGTACAACCCAAAGTTAAACATCTGGCATCGTGCAGGGAGCGGGCACATCTCAACATGATCCGTGCCCGCAACATGTCACTCCAAGGAACTCACATCACCAACAGTGATGGATGCGTGATCACTATGTTGCCTACTCCTTGTACGGCCGCTGACCAGCACGCTGGTTCGCCGTTCGCCCGCCGGGACAGAATGGGAAGTCACGACCCACTGACAACGCCGGGGCGTGGCATCAGCGGCGAATAGGCGCCCGACGTGGAGCCGTACCTAACACCATCTGCAGTGTCGGCGGGACCCGCATAAAGGAGAAGAAAGTCACAGCGGTCCTAGAAGCCTTCCTCTCCTTGGCTCTTCTCCCTATTTCTCTCTGTGTAACCTGCTCTTCCCCTTCGTCTATAAAAGGGGAAGCAGGATGCCCCAGGAGAGGGGACGGCGGTTCACCACTCTACACGGCTGTAGACATTAAAATGCACGTCCTAACACGCCTTAGGAGCACACGCACATTAGAGACTTATGACCTGTCCCTCTCTCCCACGTTTCTAACCCTACTACAAACTTTCAGTGCTAGTAACACGAGCAGTAGCGACGAACTAGACGTAGGGACTTTCTGCCCGAACCAGTATAAACCTCGTGTCCTCTAAGCACACCATCCGAGCCAGACGCGTAATACTAGAAATTTACTAGTTGGTAACTCGAAACACCGACAATGATATTCTATCCAGTTTCTTTCATCTTCTTCTTCCCCAATGGCATCCCTCACGCCGGAGCCAAAGTGTAATCCTTATGCAAATCCAACAACCAACCCCTAAACATTGGACATATCACAATATCCAACGCTTCGGAAGAACTAGTCTAAAACGCATCTAAATCGATGAAAGAAAATACCGACAGTTGCATCGTTGGGATCAACATAGGATGCAGAATCATCACCTTTCAACCTTCAAATCCTCCCTACGACCAACGACAATGAGATCGATGACCCAAAGTAGCTGTCTTCGTTGCAGGCATCCAGAAGCACCACTCCCCTTGAAGATAATGGCTACAACTTGGCCGCATGCAGATGAAATCGATGCCTACAACGACGATGTCGTCATGGCAATCATCAAAGTCGTCGCAAGAAACACGACCCCGAACGAAAATCATCTGATTTTACAAGAAGATTTATTTGGATCTGAACCCTAAGCAACTAGAAAAAAACTGCGGAAAATTAAAGAGATGGGTCTCCTCCCCTTCTTATCCTCGGCAAACACGTCGCAGAGGAAGAAGGAGATGGGGCCTTGGCAGAAGCGTGGTGACGGCGAGGAAAGCAAGGGCGACGGCGGCGTTTCCTTGGCCCTAGGCGGCGGCTCGTATGGATACGACCGAAATTCATGTAGAGTTATCTTAATAGTGTTTTCATCTTTTGCATTGATGACTTTATTGGTCCATTGCTTTTTAATGCCATTAATGGAAGAGAAAGGGTGAAAATAGACTAGTGGTCTTTAAATTTATCTAAGATATCATCGAGCCCCCCCCCAACTATTAGTTCGAAGTTTGTTGTCCTAATAAACATACAAGGTATCCCATAGCATCATGTTCTTCCATGTTCTCTCTCTAGTCCAAGTCAGTTGGCAAAATTGTCAAAGGGTTGAACTTTTGTTTTCAACATTTGCAAACCATTTATAGTAAGTTCAAAAAAGTGTCGCTTAGAGTTATGTGCAGGTCAAACTTTTAAAATTTTAACTAGATTTATAAAAAAAATATTAGCAATTTGTAGCTCCAAATAAGTTTCTTATGAAAATAATTTCTTATATATACTTGGTCAAAGTTAAAAATGTTTGAATTCTCAAAAAATGAGAATAACACTCTCTTTGTGGGACGGAGGGAGCACACATCTATAGACAAGTTTAAGGATCATTGGTGTATTATAGTCTAAGAGAAAATCATGTGTTTCTAGAGTTAAGGGGCAAAATATGAGCTGAAGATTGCAAGGCGTACAATTTCAATGTCCATCATGTAAAAATATAATTAAGGCTAGAATAGTTCATATATGGAGACACAACCATGGGTGATGAACTGGACCGTTAGTAGATTTTTACTGATAGAGTCTACTCACTTAGATTCAAGTCCTCTGTTGGCAATTGGCATGACGCTTGCAATTTATTTCAACAAAAAATCGACGCTATTTTTCCAAGGGTGTCTGTGGTTAGTAGTGACTTTATCAATCAGTCTATATATCGAAGGTGCTACGGGTAGATGTATATGTGCGTTCGGCTGGCAGAATTTTGGCTGAAACTGACTGAAAAATACTGTTCTTGCTGAATTGTTGTGAGAGGAAAACACTGTTCCGACTGAAAAAAGAAGCCGAACAAGCCGAATATGGGGTAAGCCGAACGGGGCGAAGTGAGTGGATGTACATTGATTTATATGAGCATATTGTGTTCTCAGAAAAGAAACGAAATGCAAGACCATGGGTGGACTTGGCCAATTTCCCCCATCTCCTCCCCGAGTTCCCCACCCCCACATGGCTACCATCAATTCTCAGTGTACAAGGAGTTCCACTTGGGTCTCAAACCAGAGCCACAGTTTGTAAACACCCGTCTGTACCAAGATCACGGTAGGTGCACACTAATTCCTTCTTCCGTGCCCGTTGTCGTTTCAGGGCTCCTAAATCGGGAAACTCATCCACTATCTTATACTCCCCATCCCTCTCCCAGCACACAGCATCGCCACTACTCCCTCCACCATCCCCTGTGCACCTGCAGCACCATTATCCCCTTCGATCATCAGCTCGGTTCTCTGATCCGTAGATCGATCTATCGGTCGGTCGGCCGGCCGGCTATGGACGGGCCGGGGATTCGCAGGAAGCAGTACGGTTTCAAGAGCAATGCTCACCAAGGCGCGGGCGCTGTGACCAGCACCAGCTCGGGCAAGCGCAAGGGGAAGGCTTCTGCCGGCGGCGGAAAGAAGCCACCGATCAAGGTGGTGTTCATCGGCAACCCCGTGCGGGTGACGACCAGCGAGGCGGGCTTCCGCGCGCTGGTGCAGGACCTCACCGGCCGCCACGCCGACCCGTACAAGTACAGCGGCGGCGGCAGCAGCAGCGGTGCTGCAATTGACGTCGACGCCGACGACAGCAGCGGGGGCAGCCCCGTGGAGCCGCAGCATCAGGCGGGCGCGATGCTTCTGCCCAGCCCTGTCAGCACCCCGTCATCGGACGCCGCCTCCGCCTCCGCTGCCGGCGCGATCCAAGTCTCAGTGCCGGCTTACGACGACGACGACGACAGCTTCGCGCCGCAGCTGATCGACAACAGCTACTCCGCGTTCTCGCCGCCGACGTTCCTCTACGGCCCGCACGGCGAGCTGTGATTCCAATCCTGTATGTATGAGTTGTATTGCATTTAACTAGCTCATGAGCATGATGTGTATCGTATGTGCATGCGCAGGCTGGATCGTAGATAAGTATAATAAACTAGAATGAAGAAATCTGTACGCTAGCTAGCTGCTAGTTAGAAACGCAATCTCTGTCATGCTGCTGCCATCGGCAAAGTAGTGACACACTAAGCTGCTACAGTTTCTCCAAATTAATTGGTGGTGCTTATGGTGTGTGGGAGCCACATAATCTTTGCTTGGAAGCCAATTGTACAATGATGAAATGGTAATGGGATTGGTAAGTATTTTTAGTTAACAATTCACTTTCGTGCTAATTATTGGTTCCTCTTGTTTGAAACACTCAGGGCCCCCGGGAGAATCAGATTCCTCTCCCGCTCTTTTTACAAACTGCCTTCTCATTGTTGATCCGTATTTGACACATATATACTATACATGCAGAGGAATGACATGAAAGATTCCTAGATTTTGCTTCAAAACTTAATTAGTGCTCAGTACTGGCTATGGCTGAATGGCTATATATGATATAGAGTTAAATGCATCGTTGGTCCATTAACTTTTACCCATGTTTCACTTAGATCCATTAACTACGAAAGTGGTTTTTCAGATCCATAAACTTTTGAAGTGATGCATCTCTAGTCCATACCCCTTTGTTTATCTTTTTAATCTGACGTGGCAGTCCACGTTGTCGCTGATCGTTCTTCTGGAGGTAGTCCACGGTCAGCACAGGCAGCGGCGCCGCGTCCGGCTGCTCCACAGGGGCAAGTAGGCCAGCCCCACCCTCACCCTTGCCCTCTCCCTCTCCCAGCTGCCATAGCCCCATCCTCCCTACCTCCCTTCCCAGCCCAAGGCCGCCATGGCCGAGACGCCTTGAGGCCACGACGGCGCGACCACGCCGCCGCCGCGGAGCTCTGCCTGCAGCCCTGCACCGAGCCTTCGTCGCCACGGAGCCGCGCGACCCCGCTTCCATCCTCGTCGAGTAGCCTGTGACCCTGGCCGCGCCCTCGACCTGCGACCGCGACTCCGAGCCAGCCCACCGCCGCACCTCCACCCGCAAGCCGTCGGCGAGCCTCTGTCGCTGATCTGTCTTCTGGAGTCATGCGAGACGAGGTCGCGCAAAGGCGGGGCGGCCGGAAGTGGCAATCGTGGCTCCACAGAAGGGCTCGGGCTTGTGCTAGTGCGTGTCTGTGATCCAGTGCGGCCTTGAAAGACTCGGCCTTGGTTATCACGGGGTCCACGGAGGACATGGACATGGCTGCCGCGAGTGGCACGGCAGCGCCATGCTGTGCAAGTGTGCCGCAGTGTGGGACGCCTTCGTAGTGGCAAGCCGCGCCGACGCCGCTGCGGCCGCGGCAGCGTCGTGCGAGCGACCGTGAAGTGCACGGTCCGTGCGAAGGGTGGCGGGGCACTACGTGCCTGCGGCTGTGTGTGCGTGTCGGCGCTCTGCCGTGCGGCGACCGTGGGTGGCCACCGGTGCGGTATCGCGTGTTGATGGTGTCCGAACGGACTGGGCGACGTGAGCTTGCGGGAACCGCGCACGCGCGCATCCAAGCGAGGTCACGAGGCGGCTCGAAGGCCGGGCAGATAGGCCAAGGCGGAAACAAGGAAAAAGGGCGGGTCTCGGCTGTGCTCACCAGCGGGCTTGGTGACGGCAGGGCGCCTGGTGCAGTGAGGGTTCGGTGTAGGCAGGGCCGATGCAGGGGAAGCCGTGTCCCTGAGCGGCGCGGCTTCAGTGGTTGCGGCGGTCACCGTGGTCGAAGGAGAGCCAGCGCCGGGGCGAGGAAACTCCTGCAAGCGGTTGGATGAGTGGGCGTTGATGGCTAGATACAGATAGGTTGGGCCTTGGGTCACAGAGCGGCTCACCGATGGCTCGGGAGGTTGCTGATCACGGAGCAGAGGCGGCAGGACGCCGGCGGTCCACAGCGCGGTGTCGCGGACGGCGTCTCATGGCGCGGCGCAGAGGAACGGCGGGGCTCGGCGAGGTCGACGCGTTCTTGTGCTACGAACAAGACGATGGTGAAGGCTGGGACGGACGACAAGGCTTCTACGGCAGGAAAAGGGGAAGCTTTGATCTTGGGGAGGCTCGCCGACGGCTTGCGGGTGGAGGTGCGGCGGTGGGCTGGCTCGGAGTCACGGTCGCAGGTCGAGGGCGCTGCCAGGGTCATAGGCTACTTGACGAGGATGGAGGCGGGGTCGCGCGGCTCCGTGGCGACGAAGGCTCGGTGCAGGGCTGCAGGCAGAGCTCCGCGGCGGCAGCGTGGTCGCGCCGTCGTGGCCTCAAGGCGTCTCGGCCATGGCGGCCTTGGGCTGGGAAGGGAGGTAGGGAGGATGGGGCTATGGCAGCTGGGAGAGGGAGAGGGCAAGGGTGAGGGTGGGGCTGGCCTACTTGCCCCTGTGGAGCAGCCGGACGGGGTGCTTCACCGCGGCAGCCAGGAGCAGCCGTATGCGGCGCCGCTGCCTGTGCTGACCGTGGACTACCTCCAGAAGAACGATCAGCGACAACGTGGACTGCCACGTCAGATTAAAAAGATAAACAAAGGGGTATGGACTAGAGATGCATCACTTCAAAAGTTTATGGATCTGAAAAACCACTTTCGTAGTTAATGGATCTAAGTGAAACATGGGTAAAAGTTAATAGACCAACGATGCATTTTAACTCTATGATATATCTCTTGTAGTCTAGCTCTAATTTGGAGGGGAAAACGGAAAATGTAATTCTGAGTATGACTCTGCTTCACGCCGAGATGCTAATTAATTAAATTAATTTCGTCACTGAACTGAAGGAATGGGACTTTTTTATCCCCATCGCTGCTGGTTTGTTCCTTAAAAAACTCAAGGACCGTTTGCATTTCATGTATGTATGATAGATATTGCTGCTCACTGGAAGAATTATGTACAGGAAGAAAAAAATAGTTGCAATATGTTTGCATCTTACTTGGGTAACATAGATTGCTACAACTTGTTGGTTGATTGCTGGACTCAACTATACACTGCAGTACATGAAAACTAACCTAGCTAAGAGAAATATCAGAAATTAAGCTTTCCGCTGCAAAGCTCCAAGGCTTATTTCAAATGTAAGCTAAGGCCCTCTTCGGCTGGCTAGAAAAACGGTTGATGCTGATGTTGATGCTGTTTTGTTGTAAGAGAAAAACACTATTATTTCGCTAAAACGGTACGGCTGATAAGTTCAAGCGAACAGGGCCTAAATTATGATTGGCTGGGGGTGATAAACATATATATATTTGTTAAAGGTTTAGCCCTTGATCATTGCGCGGTAGCTAATTGTTTAAATTCATTTTTTATTTTGACTCATCCAGAGTTAGTTTTGTTAGCTCAACATTTCCTTCTAAAATAAAATATCTGACATAAAATTACAGCCAGCGTAGTATCAATGATTTTGGAATAATGCTACGATACGGTTTTGCCTTGATCTGCACACACTTTGTTTCATTTCACATGTCATTGTGTATGTTAATTAAGCATTCTCTAGTGTAAAATCTTATCTCAACTTCTCATTCCTAATTCAGTCGTGCGTGATGCTTTTTTAGTTTTTCTAAAAGGGAATGCATGGCTTCAATCTTTATCAGCTTCTTGCTCATGTGAGGTAGCATATACCTATGAACCATGCCAGAAGACTCCCCCAGCGGTTTTCTTTGCAAGTAGTCAGAGGTGTGCGGTTGTTACATAGAAGTGTTCTCCATACTTGTACATATATAATATATATAATGAGTTTGTTGGCAATTTAACAGCCTGTTCGTTTGGCTGTGGCTTGTCGTAAACGATCGTAAATTTCCATCTGGAACAGTATTTTTCTCTCACATAAACCAACCAATAGTACTTTTTCACGAACCAGCAACGAAACGAACTAGCCAACCGAACAGGTTGTATATTGTTGAAGTTGAGTGACCTCTTGATAAAAGTGTAAGACAGTCAATGATTGAGTCCAAAGTCACATGTGTATTTTGATTGGCCCTGTTCGTTTGGAGGAATTTGGAGAAATCTAAAATATAAACAGTAAATTTCATTTATAAACCGTAAATTCCGGCTGAAATTTCAACCGGCCACAACGGCCCCATAAGGGCTTCACCAACGCAAGGTAACAAAAGCATCGGCTTCAGAAAATTATTGCGTCCATATAGACATAGATAAGCTGAGACTGCTACTTTTCCAGCACAAGCACATGCTCTAACTGTACCACGACCTGCAAAAACTGACAATACTCTCTTTTGGACGATCGCTCTCTCCCGACTCTCGAGGCCATATAGCAGCCTCTGTAGGTCAAACTGACACCTGCAGTGCACCCAACATCTACACACTGACATCCGAGCCTAGTTAGCCTCAAAAGCCATCCTTGTTTACACATGACATCACATCAATTTTAGCCGCTTGCATGGAGCATTAAATGTAGGTAAAAAAATAACTAATTGCACAGTTTAGTTGGAAATCACGAGATGAATCTTTTGAGCTTAGTTGGTCCACTTGGAACAAATAAGAGTCGCCACTATTCATCAGGTTGCAATTTTTTGCAATCTAAACATGGCCCCACTAACAAAGTCGCCACGTTGGTGCTAGCCTAAGGGGCACCCGCGGCCTTCATGTGACCAACACTCACGGTAGGATAGCCACACTCAGTCACAAAACCGGATCCGCCACTAAGTGTTGTCAGTGACAAAAGGCCCGTCCTGATCTGTTGCTCGTCGCCACCACTCAAAAACATCGATCGCCTTGTTCGTTTGGATTTATTCGGAACTATTTTTTAAGTTATAAAATAGTGTTTTTCTCTTACAACATTTCAGTATAAATTAAATTTTAGCATAAACGAACATGATACATACCTTGATCCCTTACACCGAGTACTCCGACCCCTCACGCGTTTTTGTCAAGGAGGCATGTAAACTTCAGTTTGCCCTAACTAATTGTATCATCCTTGAACAATGAAATGTTCTAAATGGCTAGAGGAGGTGAATAGCTTATAAAAA